AGAAAATATTTTCCAAAAGCTTAAGTATACCGTGCGGGTATACTTTGTCAAAGGGAATAATTATTTTCATAAATTAAGTTTCTGCAAATGAAAACGCTTTTATTTCATTACAGTCACGTTTTATAAACGCAACATAATTGCCGGTAACACGCAAATTACTAATTATTCTTATTTGACCTAACATTGATTTAAGCCAATTAATTCTTGTGGCTTCCTTTTAACGGATGAAGTTCTATATCGAAGGCAAATCAAAATATTGTCTTCGCGGTCTTGCAACATTGCGATTATGTCTCTTACACTTTTACGATATTTTGGGTTTGTGTGTTAGAAATAGCAACATTAAGTATTGTCTGTAGTTTACGCGAGTAGTGTATATTTAAATAAAACACTCTAACGGTTTAAAACTAGATTTAATGCAGTCTCCTTGTGACCGCGGCTGCTGCGAAGCAACCAAAACGTCGGGCCGTTAAAAAAGGTAGTTAAAAAAATCTAATAAGTTAAACTAATGTACATCGAGTTTTAAACCATTAAAATGTTTTATCTAAATACGCTTGGCGGTTTGAAACTCGAAATTGATTAGTTCACTTATTTTTAATTTAATTTAACTACGGGCCGACGCGTCAGATACTTTACAAGAGGGGAGTGATTTTTATTTTTATCTTTAGCTAGTAGTCATCATGCTTCTGAGGGTTCTGAGCCAAGTCCAGACCGGATAGATAGGCCAGGCTGGGCTCAGAAACACTCGGTGTTTCGCCGAGGTCGGAACCCGGGACCACTGGCGAAGATCTACTTAAAACGGCCTTTAAGTTATAATCTTATAGTAGTTATTATCATTTTTAAAATAAAACACACATTAATCAAAATAATTCCAAAATGTTTAAAAATTAACGTATAATTTGTTCGGTATTTAAATTTGTTACAAGTGTTTTATTTATATGCATACTATTCTTACTGCTTAAGGTACAGATAAAACTTAAAAATAAATTTAATTAAAGTAGCAAAGATCAAGAATGAAGTATATCTCTATTAAGGACGCAACCGGGATCGCTCGGTTACTCTTCCTGGGGCCTTCAAAAAGCACATTTTCATTAAGAAAAGAAATTAAGGGCTTCCTTCCGCTCCCTAGTGTAATTAGATATCTTGTACTTAAAAACAAGGAGACAGTGATTGTTGTTATTTTTATTACTTAGGGTTGCCCCTTAAAGAAATACGCGGCTTGTCTTGTCTGAATATTGTTTTAGCTGATAAATTCGGGGTGGTGCTTGCTCTTGAGAGTTAGGGGGTTTTGGAGTCTTTATTTCTAAGCATAACATTGTTATTTTTAACATTGTACCAGACGTATGTACAAATGGATTTTTAAAAATATACGTGCTGGACACGGTAGCTCAATTCTTAGAGTAATAGCTCAGATCACTGTGGTCTTCGTGTGTAAGCTAGCCAGAGTATATTTGTCTAGCTAAAATACATTTTGGATCCAAATATATGTCTGTATTTTTTGCAGTATCTGTAAAAGTGGCAGTGAAAAATATGTATAGTAAAAACATTTAAAAAAACTTCAAAAGAACTGTCCAATTTAATTGTGAAATCTCTCGTTAATAACAGGTATTGGTAATTCTACCCGTTCAGTGCTCTCAAAGGATTTCTTCGAAAAGCGTCTGGTTTTTTAAAGTACGTAGGTAGGCGATAATTACTGAAACGGAATGTTCAAGTTTAACGAAATTCACGCCCAAAAACATTGGAATTCTGAGTAAAGTGAATATATTGAGAGCAAACGACAAATTATTCAACTGATCTTATACTAATCTTGCTAATATAAATTCTATAATTATCTTCAGTTATCTATGCGTATGTAACATCGCCGATAGGAATTGTAACGAGAAATGGTTAATTGAAAAAGACTTAAGCAATAAATTTTTTTATTAAAAAGGGACTAAAAATCTATTTAAGATTAAAAAATAAGTTGCCTGGAAGAGATTCCTCTATAGCGATAAGGCCGCCCATTTCACTTCATGTCTAGTAATAATTTTTTTTTTCTCTAAAAGTTGTATTTTTCAAATACATTTGTATATACTTAGTGCGGGTTGCAGTAAAGAATAAATAAAAAGATAAATAAAATGACAAATTTTTACAACAAGAGCAAGAATTGAGCCGAAAACCATAGCATTCCGTTCTGTTACTCTTAACCAATTGAGCTACCGTGCCTACATGGCGTCGTCAATTATTTTCAACTTAGTGCACATAAGGTAGCGCATATAACTTCACACCAAAGTGTGTGAAGTTAGAGTTTCAAGGGTTTTGAGGTATTGTTACCGTAGTACCTTAGATGATGTCCACGTTAAACCCTCATTGGTTCAAGAAAAAAACCAGCTACCACTCGTGTATTACAAAGCAAAGTACGAGTACAAAACTTGTAAACACTTTTAGAAGTCCAAAACACAAAGAACCCAGTATACAACAGTAAATTGTTGTAAATTAAGTCAGCAAGAATAGAGTACAATGGAAGAATCCTCTTTTCGAGTCCATGTGGAATGGCATTTCATTTCGAATTCTGATCACTTACTTCACCTTTGAAAGCATAAAATTTCAATCTAATTGAATACGTAATTGGCCAGCACTAGGGCAAACCTTTTCGGCTATTAATTCTCGGGTCTGCCGCTTTAATTTTATCAGTTTTGAACGATTAGCTTATCAGCTGTGTAATTTATAAAGTTTAATCTGCTATCTGTACCTTTGTGCTTCGGCGATTTGTTTACTAAATTAACTGGAAGTTTTTGTACCCTTTTACCACAGACTTGTTTATATAGTCTGTAGTTAGAGGTTAATATTAATAATTAAATAAAATTTAACACTGGCACATTACGAAAAAATAATGGTATGTTGTTTACTATTACTTTTCTACAAAATACGTGCTTTAAGTTTTACAGAAACCAATCTGTCATATTTTAATCTCACTCCCAAAAAACATTTAATTATTAATGAGATAGACGAAAATTTAAGGAATTATTAATAACAACAGTATATTGGCTGTAGTTTACGCGAGTAGTACGCATTCAAATAAAACACTTATTGGTTTAAGACGCAAAATATATAGCAACATCCGTAGTCACTGCGGCCGTGGGGGGGACTGACGGTGGAGGGAGTACTAAATGTCAAATCCAAATGTGCTGTATTAGTACCATCTGTTTCTTTGTAGCGTAAAAGATTTGGCATCGAAGCGTTTCGCCATAGTTATTTATAATATTTTTTACAGAGGTTAAAAATAATTCACGTTTGAAACTGTTAATAATATTTACGCATACGCAACAAAGTAGTCTATCCAGACACTGTGCATTAACGCTGCGCAAACATAGTCGGCAAACTGAATTCTTTCATACAAAAATACATTAAAGAAAGGCTTTGGAACCCAAATAAATCTGAGGGGCGTGGGAAAGGAAGGATTCAGCGATTCCATTTTGTTTTGTCGATTTAAAAGAACTACATACAAAATGCGGGTAGTGATTGCTGGGTTCGCATTTGTCGAGTTAAATGGCGGAGTGAGGCAATTATTGGGGCTTATATTGTCTTCTTGTGCTTTCGGTTTGTCTGTAGATGTGTTCAGGCCAGTATGTTTAATTCATAATATGCTTTAATTTGATAAAAATAAAAAGATAAAGGTAGGTTATCAGTATATTAGATTATTAAAAAATATAATGTTGTAAAATAAACACATTCCAGGAATAGAACAATATATATACGTGTAAACTATTTTATGAAATTGCTTATAGACTTGTTTGTACAAAAAGCTACATACTTGCAATAATTTGTTCCCTTAATACAATCAATATACAATAAAACATAATTAAAAAAGTTATTAAAGCAAATTATTTATTTCGAACAACAAGCGAATATTATGTTAATATATTTAATTTAAAGCTATCTGGTCTGTCGCGTTTCTTTTGTTCGTTGAAATCGTATAACATAAAATTTAACATTTGTGTACGGTTTTTATCACACGAACCGCTGTTTTAAGGTAACGCATTTGTTTCAACCTATTATTGTTTGTCATATTAGTTATTGTCATATTTCTGGGCAGATATTTCCAAGACGCACCTTGCTCTAATGTTTGTGTACATTGTCGTATATATCCTACGCCAAAACATGTTAACATTGCAAGACGCATTGTCACTTGTATGTTATAAGGCTAGGGAATTTTTCGTGTCACCAACAGATCCCTATGTTTGTCTGTTCTTCTCTTTACTGTTATAAAAGTATACGCTTTTAACAAAAACGTATATTTTTTACAACAGAAAAGAGCAGACGAGGGTTCTCATTATATATCATTAAAATACTGTTGACTCACTTTTTTTAAATCTTCAAAGTGTAACCGAAACGCGAATTTTCATTGTGAAAGGGGGAATGCATAGATATACTTATTTAATACCTGCTGGCTGCTGCAAAGTATCCGAAACGTGGGGCTAAAGTTAAAAATAATTTACAAATAAGTTTACCTAATCATGTTTTAAACCGTTATTTATAGTGTTCTATTTAAATGTGTACTACTCGCGTATACTGCAGACAGTATTTACCTAATATTTCAATGAATCGGTTTAAAACGTGAAATATATTACTGCCTTTAATGTACGCGAGTAGTACACATTTAGGTAAAGTACTTTTATTGGTGTAAAATACGATATGTATTAGCAAAATTTTAGTTCAAGTTATTTTTAACTACGTTTTCGGGTGCCTTACCATGGTCAAGACGGGACTGAAAAGAGAATAGTGAAATTTACTACGCCAACTCCATCTATACATTTCAAGATTTGTCGTTAAAAGTTTTATTTAAAAGGGTACTTTGTAATGTGTTTATTTTTTTCTTTGTTTCAGATAAGTCTCGGGTGAACGCCTGAATTGTTTATGCAGTTACCACAGACAACGAATGTCCAGTGTAATACTATATTGGTTAGATAAGTACAGTGTTTAATGGAATTGGAAATGTTTGGTGTACTTTTGTGAGAACGAAAATGGCGCAGAAAACTGGACTTCTAGTTATACTATGGGTGGCGATTATTCCATTACATCGAGCTGATAATCTGGGTAAGTCTTTCTGTAAGTCTTTTATTTTTTGTCTGACAACTTAGAGTAATTCCATAATTATAAACAGTGAAAACAATCCTTATGTGATTCCTGTTTAATTAAAATGTATCTCAAATAACCTTTATTTCACTACGGGGGGAGAAAAAAAAAAAAAAAAAAAAAAAAAAAGAAAAAAAAAAAAAAAAAAAAAAAAAAAAAAAAAAACCCCCCCCGGAAGCATCTGAAACGCCTTTTCGAACGTGAAAATGTTTATTTCAAATAGGTTAAAAAAAAAAAATTTTTTTTTTTTCACGTCAATTTGTAATCTATCTGCAACTATTATAATATTTCGGTTAATAAACAAAATGGCACAATTTGTTTAATAATCTATTGATTAATTTAATTGGTCAAATAGTAGCATAGTATGGTTAATAATTAACATATCGTGGGTTTGATGCCCATCGGGTTCAATATGTGATATACGATTTTTTTTTGTAACATGTTGGACTTCGTCTGGAATTTTAGTTGTGAATTTTAATCGCGTTTCGGTTCAGTCTATGGATTTCCGAATATCCAGAGCCAATATAGGTCGATCGCGCATCTTGTTTAGATACTAAATGTCTAGGAATATAGGTATCGTGTACTTTCACTATTTTGGATTTTTATCTTGGGTTACTCTCTACTATTTTGGCGGTCTGTCGACTAATAAAAATGGATCAATAGTCTCTTTTTATTTGCCTGTTAATTAATATTTCAAGTAGTAGAACAAATATTGAAAAATAGAAATATTTGTCTATATTTATTATACACTACTTGTGCCAGGGACTTCATTCGCGTAGAATTTTCGACATCAAATTTGGTATTTGCAAACTTCTACCATATTTTTATAAATTATACCCCACGACGTCGGTCGGGTCATTTTCAAGTTAATTTGAAGGTATGTCGTTGGTGACAGTTTTTTAAATTATTTAAAGAAAAAGATTTATTTCATACAAGGTGCTTTGGTTTCTTGCATCGTTTTCGAAGCGTACGCAACAGAAGCCTTTATAGATAAATAATTTCCCCTGTTTTTCTACACTTCCCTCTGTATACTTCGCTTCCATTTGTCGCAGCCTGATATTTAGTAGCCTAAAGCCTTCCGCGATCTCTTCAACCAACACAAAAAATTATAATTCTAACCAGTATTTCTTGAGCGTACAAACAAACAAACACACAAAATCTTCAGCTTTTATATATTAGTATAGATCTTGATATATTTATGTGTCTGTTTCTCATCTACGTGGGGTATGCATTCTACACTTTTTCTGTTCTCTTATTTTGCTGTAACATTTCACTAAGATCTCTTACGGACCTTCTGGGGAAGCATTAATAATCCCAAAGACAAAGACCGACTTGATTTTTATCAGTCACTCCTAATTGCGAATATCAAAACTTCTGGCAGTTTCCACTTCACCCTTATTTCTACTCAAATACCTTTAATTAATGTTGATAATTTCGAAGGGTGGATCAGGCTATATTCAAGTTGAAATTAAATGTTCTTGTCAAACGAAAATTTATTAACCAAATTAGTACTTACAATTTACTTTTATTTATCTATATTATATACCAATATATAAGGCTGAAGAGTTTGTTTGTTTGAACGGGCTAACCTCACGAACTACTGGTACGAATTGAAACTCTGTTTTTTTTTATTTATCGAGAAGGGCTATATATAACACATCGCGCTACGACTAATAGAAGTGAAAAACAGCGAAAAATTTTAAAGAGGGCGAAAATTATTCCTTGCAGGAAAAATATAGTAATACAGTCCTTTTAAAATGATCTACAAGAATGTCCGCGAAAATATCTTGAAATTTCAGCGTCTAGACGCACTAAATTTTATGTCATTATAATATTTCATTAAGATTTTTTACACTGAAATCTAGACATTTACCGAGGCACCCAAGTGTCAAGTAACGACATTTTTTGTAGCTGGAAGTGGAAGTAATTTCCTGTCCTTCCTAAGCTGATCTTATCTAGTATATTAATAAGTATTATAACATCAGAAACTTTACCAAGTTCATCTGTGTTGACGAATCGTCGATGGACAATTTACTTTTCATTTAAAATAATACCTCATATCCACTACTTAGAGCAATGTGAATCCTGAATTCGAACACAGCACCCGAAAGTCTTTTGTGAAACTATAAATTTGAATTAAAAATGTATTAGATTGAAATAAAAATTGATTTAGCGTTCGTTGGGAAACATTAAAACAGCAGCACTTAAACGCTGTGGATGTGGGTTCAAGCTCGCCCTTTGTATTTGTTTTATATATAATGCCATATTCAATAACACGAGAAATTAGTAAAGTTTTAAAACACTAAGTATGATCAATAAAATTGAACAATGGAATAGACACAAGCATTCATATTTCCGTCAAATTTCTCTCTGTTACGTTCGAAATACAATACTTGGAAGTGAATTGTCTATCTTGTTATCCCACACTAGCTGTGTCAGCGACTTCGTTCGCGAAAATCGTTATTTTAGGCGTCTAAATTTGTTTTTGCAAACCTATTCACCTTTATAAACTTAAGACCACGACGTTGGTCGCGTCCCATCCCGTCGTTCTTGCAAGTTATTCTTGAAATCATTCTTTCGTACATATTTTTAGGTATCTTCGGAATTTAGAGTCAATTCGAACCAATAGTTCCTGAGACTAGAGTGTTCAAACATACAAACAAACAAACTTTTCAGCTTTATGTATCGATAAAGTATAAAACTAAAATTTCATAAAACGTCACGAGATGGCGTTAATCTACAAACAGAGTACTCAAAAGAGTAAGTAAAATGCCACCACACGCTTCAAGTGGCCTTAAATAGGGTCCCGGCTTACTGATTCCTTTTCATGCGAGAAATAATACTTTTAGCCACTCGTAACGTACATCCGGACTCTGGAAATCGAGCATTTGCCCCAACAGGGGACGTGACAAGACGCGTGGATAATCTCTTAAGAACAAAAGTCCACTAGCGATGTGCTCTGACCAAATATAAACAAAGGTTAGGGTGTACTTGGACGAAGAATTCTTATGATTTATCGTTTCGATCGGTAACAAATGTTTACGCTACGTTTTCACTGATAGGCGGGTTCGATTTTGGTATACAAAAGGTCCCCCGTCAATAGAATCTGTTAACAATCGATAATCTTTTTAATAAAAAAAGGGTTTAAATAAAAAACTAACAATTTAAAACCCGAGACGGTTTTAAATGTGAACAGTCTTAGTTAACTTATTTATTTTAACGACGGCCCAAAATAAGGTATACTTCAGTTGACTAATACTTTTGGGGTTTAAACCGTTAAAACTGTTTTATTTTAATGTGTAACTATCGTAAGTTACTGATAGTTACTTAACTATATTATTTAAATAACAAAAAAACATAAAGAATCTTAGTTGTTTTTATTAATATCATATTAATTTATTATCTGTGCCAATATCATATGTATCTCTGTAGGCTATACGACCTCTTTATAAATTGACCTCCTTTTTTGTTTAGCTGTGAAATAGAAACTCCAAGCATAATGTAGACTAGCCAGCACATTAATTATTAGTTCTTTACCAAGCTTTTATTCCTTATAGTTGAAGAGAAGTGCATTTAATGAAAGCGGAAATACTTCAAGAACTATCTGGTGTTAATATAGAAAGTATAGAATATTATAGTTAATATACTATTAAAAATAGTCTATCATTGTTGCTTCAGACTGTCTGAAACAGCACACATACACATGTTTCTGTACATACATACTCGTACACACACGCGACTGTTCTTTTTCTCTTTTCTGTCTCCAGTCGTAACCTGCTGTTGTTAACTTGAATAAATATATACTAAGCATGGATAAATATAAGTATTAGATACGTGGTTCCTCTACGCTCTAACACAGTTTGACGAAACTTACCCTAATATTAGTGGCATATTGTATACTCTAATTATAATATGTATATATTTTGGTCATTGCAGATGTTGATTTTATTAACTGAAATGAGTATAACACGGTACTTCTGAACTAACAATCGAAAATCATGTAAACTCTAAACCCACTTGAATATAACGTTTAAATAAAATACTTTACGATTTAAAACGCTAAATATATTAGTTTACTTAATTGGCACGAGTATTTTCCAACCCAAAATAGTAAGTTAAATAATATAAATCGCGTTTGAAACCGTTAAACATGTTTTATTTAAATGAACGACTCTGTCTATCAACAAATAGATTGACCAAAACACTAATAAATAAGTATTAGTTTTAAAATGGAATTTCCATTCTAAAATTAATACTGATATCATAATTTAAAATAATAATAATAAGTAATACATGTAAATAAAACACTTTCGCAGCCGTGGTCACTGGGAGACCCCTCCCTGTCTCCCCGTGGCCACGGCTGCTGCGAACCATCCGAAACGTCGGGCTGAAGTTAAAAATAATTTTCAAATAAGTTTAACTAATATAACGCGTTTTAAACCGTTACAGTGTTTTATTTAAATGTGTGCTACTCGCGTAAACTAAAGACAGCGTAAAGAAAACTTTGCTTACTTTTAGAAATATTTTGCGAAGCGTTTTTGCTGGTTATTTCATAGGAGTTGCACGAACCTTTTTAGCCATACCCTGATGAATCCCTTCAGTTGGAAATTCTGTCGAATTCGTATATCATTTGAATACAAATAACGATTGTGAGAGCTCATTCAAGTGTGCGTATTTTGTGGAGTATAAAATCCATCCCGGCGTTTAAGAATCGACTCTGAACGGTTTAAAGGGATCTATGACCGGAGATAAATCATTAATCAACCGTTGGATTCAATTTAGGAGTAACGCACTAAAACATATCCTACTATGGTAATATTTAGTATTTATTCATTCACTTTTATCGCGTTCAAAACTAAATGTGACAATTAAAATCCTTACATACTTATATAAGACTAAGTCTAGTTAAATAAACATACATTTTATGTAGTAAGGAAATTTGATATTAGTTCAAATATATT